ACCCATGCGCCTTCCTCAGTCCCAGCCCTGAGCCTCTCCACCCCCTGCAATGTTCTCAGCCCCCGCCCTTCTCCCCCCTCCAAGGTTCTTAGCCCCCCCCATCTCCCCAGTTACTTCTATCCCAAATAAATAACCAAACTGTTCTTTTTGTCAAAACAAAACAGTTGATTTTGCTGTGGCTGCGGGAGCAGGGATGGAGGGGGGAAGGGAGGGATTGTGGTGCGAAAGGCTGAGAGGGGCATGGCACAGGCCCCTGCTGGGGAGGCCCTGGGGAGAGTTACTGGGGTCCTTGAGAGAAACTCTCCCTTGGGGCCTCCTGGATAGCCCCCCCTCCCCCACCGAATGGGCCTGTCAGATGGCAGCTGTATGCATCTGCTCAAAGGCCCTTCCTTCCCAGCCGGCGTCTGCCCCCCACCCCGGAAGGAAGACCTCCCCCTTCCTCTCCACAGTGTTATGGAGCACACAACAAGCAGATATCACTTGGGGGATGTTCTGCTCCCCCACATCCAAGTAGGTCAGGAGGCACCTAAAACTCGCCTTCAAGCGACCAAAGGTGCATTCGGTCTGGATACGGGCCCTGCCCAGGCGTCCATGGAAGCGGCCCTTGCTGGGGTCAAGGTGGCTGGTGTAGGGCTTCATAAGCCACAGCATGAGGGGGCAGGCTGCATCCCCCATGGTGCACAGTGGCATTTCCACGCCCCCGACCCTGATGCTGTGCTCAGGGACGAAAGTGCCGGCCTCCAGCTTGTGGGATAGCCTGGAATTGTGGACTACATGGGCGTCGTGCACCTTCTCCGGCCAGCCGACGAAGATGTCCATAAACTGCCCTCTGTGGTCGACCAGGACTGCAGGACCATAGGAAAGTATCCCTTTCTGTTAATGTATTGCGCTGCATGGTGTTTGGGGGCCCAGATAGGGAGGTGGGTTCCATTTGCGGCCCCTCCATAGTTGGGGAAGCCCAGGCTAGCAATTCCGGCGATGACAGGTCGAAGTCACCCAGACGGATGACCCTATGCAGCAGGACGGTGTTAATGGCCCTAACCACTTGCAGAAGGAGACAAACAAAGAAACAAATCAGACAAAGGGGGTGCCTGAGCCCTGGGGAGGTCTTTGAGCCCTCCCCCCCAAACATCCCAGGAGCCACCCCTTATGAAGCCCACTCTCCCAGCAGGGCTGTGTGAGGGTGGAATTGCATAAC